CCCGACAACGTACAGGCTCGCTCCGTCCAAAAACGTGCAGTTCGCCAGCGTCACGTTGCGCACGCTCCCCGACATCAAGCCCACGTCCACCACGACGTCCGCCGCAAAGGTCACACCAACGTAGCACACCACCGACGTCCCGAAACCGGCGTTCACCTCCTCATCCACACGCACATCGCGCACGCACGAGTCGGCGCCGTCGGTACTCGGTGGCTCGGGAACAGCGACGGGCAGGCACGCATCGCCGTGGCCGCCCTCCGCGCACCTGCAGGCGCAGCCATCACTCGGAACCGTCGCCGTATACGCAGGGAAGCACGACGCCGCGAGGGTGCATGGGTCGCTGCAGGTCAGGATGGCCGCATTGTACTCGGACGGAATACTGTATTCCACCCCCTCCTTGTCGTTCACAGTGTTGCACACAGCCACAACCGTTCCGTTTGTGAGATCGCTGGACCCTAATAATATCCAAAGCACCTTCGGCGTGCCCGTGCCGGAAATGAATTTGTTGCCGGACACAGACACTGTGGAGTTCCGTAGATTCACCCCGGGGTATGCGTAGGCAAAGGCATCCGATGGGGATTCACGGCAGAGGTTGCCGCTCAACTGCAGCCAGGAGTTGTAGTAGACATAGGAAAGAAAGCTTGAACGAAACACATTCAAACTTCCCTGCATGTCATTGCCCTGAAACACAACCGCTGACCAGGACTCCACACGTAATGCCCAGAAAAATAACATGAAGTACTTCACCGGCCTCGACGCAATGTTGTCTCGGATCACCACGGCGGAATTGTTCAGTACATCCAGCGACGAGGATTGGCCAGACCCTCCAAGATATATCACCGTAGCGCCACCGCCGTCCATATGAAACATGTTGCCCATCACCGCAAAGAGGGAGTGCCACGACACCCTCAGTGGAGATCCCGCAGCGTGAATGGCGCTTGACGATGTCGTCACGCTCTGAAACACATTGCCACTGAGCACCACAGCGGAGCCGTTGCTGAGCACCAGTCCATTCATCGCAACACACGACGGGCTGTCAAGCTCCAAACCTGGCCGAGAGATCAGCCTCGTGACCGTGAAGTGGTTCCCGCTGATCGTGATTTTCGTGTGCGGTGGAAAATCACCCTCCGGGCTGAGCAGCGCGTCATCGAACGTGTTGCCGGTGACAACAATGTTCAGCGACCCCACAGCGGCGTGCGCGTTGCCCAACAGCACCAGCACGGCGCCGTCCCTCCACGTGCATCCATCAAACGTGACGTTCGCCACGTCGCCCGTCATCCCCCCAATCAGCACCGTCAGGCCCATGCCGCCCCCGCTGAACGTCACGTTGCGGTAGCACAGCCACGACAGCCCGCTGCCCACAGACTGCGCCACCTCGGGGTACACCATGTCGCTGATGCACTCGCCAACCGGCGGCGGTAACGGTGGTGCGGGCGGCGGTGGCGGCGGTGGCGGGCCAGCAGGCACAGGCGCCGGGACGCACACATCGCCGTGCCCTCCAGCAGCGCACTGGCACTTGCAGTCGCTGACCGCCGTCGTCAGCGGAGCAAAGCAGTCGCCGTCCTTCGTGCACTCCCCGCACGCGAAAACCGTCGTCACGTTGGTGATGCCATTCAGCTCCAGTTCTGCCGCCGTCGTCAGCACCCGTCCCGCAACCGTCAGACACCCAGCGACGAACCCGTAGCCGGCGTCAACCTGCGATAGCGGAGACTTATACAACCCCGTTGAGCCCATCTTGCAGCCCGTCAGCGTCACCACACTGCTGCCATCGATGTTCACAGAAGCGTCAAAGGAAGAGTAGTGGAACATCGCACCCATTCCCACGTCGTTGTCGCGCCAATCCAACCAGCTTGAATTCCGGACGGTCCAAGAATTATATGCATAGATGGCGTAGGACACGGAACCGCTGTTCCCTACCACGCGCAGCACGCTGTGATTCGACACGGTGAGGTCTTGGTACTGATACAGGAAACTTGTCCCGGAGACCATCGTATTGTTGAGCAGCGCAAAAACGGAGCGATCACTGGCAATGAGCCTATACATGTACAACATGTGCGTGTATTTATGAAAGCTGCAGTACCGCGTGTAAAGCGAGCTGCCACCCACCAGCGTCAGCGTCCCGATCGAGTACAAACCGAACCCACTGTAACCCAATGCACGCGCCTTGACGTTGCTGACCAACAGCGAGGACGCACTCAACACAACGTCGTCCAGCATCACGACGCTCAACATGTAGTTCACAGAATTCGGCAACTGGACCGCGGATAACTGCACCGCGTCAACTTCCATGACAGCGATGTCGCAGTGCTGCGGGAGGGCACGCCTAAATAGAACAACGGAGGACCGCATCACCGTCTGGCTCACGCGGATCAGGACGCCGGCTGACTCGGCCGCCTCAGTGCCCCCAACAAACTGCAGCAAGGCTCCGTCACGGAATGTGCACCCAGTGAGCGTGATGTTGATGGGGAGATGCAGCGGCATACGATTGAAAAGGAACGTGAGCGCAGCACCCACGCCGCTGAATGTCACACCCACGTAGCAGTGGTGCGTCTTCCACATGTTCAGCGCGAGGCTCGTCAGCGTCTGGTTCACCACGCAGCTCGTGTCGCCGTCCACAAATCTCTCCGGCAAGGGCGGCACAACCGTGTCGGGCACCTCGAAGGGAAGACACGACGCGCCATGCCATCCGCCCTTGCAGCTGCACGAGCACGAGCTGCGGTCCACCGACTCCGTCCCGGGCATGTAGCACGCCGTGTCGTCGTTGCATGTGCCGCACCCGAACACCACCACCTTCTCCGGAAACACGCCGTCGTACGACACCTCCTCATCGCCCTGCATGTTGCACCCAACCACAAACCGCGCGGGCGACGTCACAAACGTCTTTTTTGGAAACTTCGCAAATGTTTTACTCGAGTCCGCCTGACGGTTGCGTGCAAGCACCAAGGTGGTGCCGCTGCCAGACAGTCTAATAGTGTACCAGAAAGACGGCATAATGAATACTGAGGCTGCGCTCACGTTGTTGCCCTCCACACGCCACTGCGCACCACCCTGAAGAATGGCTGAGCTGACCAAATACAACAGCGCAGAATTGAATGCCTCCGTGTTGTCAGTGAAGGTGCAGTCCGCCACTCTCAGCAGCCCCGCGGAGCTCACAAAAACCAACAACTGAAAACGAATGCCGATGGCTGCACTAATCGTGTTGTTCTCGACGTCAATATAGCCGCCGTTCTTCACATCAACACCGTTATAATAAACGGCCGATGCCGAACCGTAATCCCTCTTTGTTGACTTCAGCATATTTCCCTTCATAATGATCCCGCCCCCATCAACAACAACAGTAACGGGGAAATAAACTGCGGAGCTCTCCCCCTCCATGTTGTTGTCGAGCAGCAGCAGCGTCGAGTTCTTACCCAAAGTAAACCTTGGAAATTGAATGGCATGGCTCGACGTTGACACGAGCTTACTGCCCGCCACCAGTATCTGGGAGCTCGCGCCAAAATCACCCTCAAACTCCAATGTTCCAGAATCCAACGTCGAGAATGCCACGTTCACGTGCACGCGCGCACCACTCCCCTTGATCGACAGGCCCATGAGGATGCACTGCAGCAGCGTGATGTTGAGTGTCTGCTGTGGAGCGTCAAAATACGACAGGTCCAGCACAATCGCGGCGGTGAAGGTCACGTTGACAAAGCACAGGCCACGCTCACCGGGATCAGGATAGTCCACGGAGCTGATGCTGCCACCGTAAACGCAGCGGACTTCCGTGTCGTTCGCATCTGAGAGCGGGAGCGGTCCAAGGCCGTCCGGAACCGCAGCTGGCAGACACTTGTCGCCGTAGCCGTCGGAAGCGCACACACACTCACAGCCGCTGATGCCGCTCGTCCTCGCTGCGAAGCACAAGGCGTCCACGGTGCAAGTGCCACAGTCCAACACCGTCACGGGCGCCACAATATTGAGTTCGCTTCTGTAATTCGTCACAGGAGATCTCTTTACCTCGTTGCACGTGCCGTAGATGATCGGGCTTGAGTCGGATGGTGCCGACCAAAAACTTGTCATGTATGCAGTGGTCGACGAATAGGAGCCGTAACCAAAGTCGTTGTGAAGTATCGACCACACACTCTGATAGCGGAACGCCACGCCGTTCTCGCTTTCCATGTACACAACGTAGGCGGTGCGGAACGCGTTGTCGCGGTGCACCAGCCAGCTGCCGTCAGTCACAGTCAGCGTGGTTGCAATGAGCATGGCAAAGCCAAGACGGAACTCGCTGGACACAACCTGCAGCACGCTGCCGCCAACCACCACAACGTCCCCAAACACACACGCGCCTTTGTAGTATTCGGTACTCGGCGCACTCCACGAGCTGTTCTGTATGGAGAACACGGAGCCGCCGCTAACACGCAGGTCCGACGCAATAGCATACATCACGTGCATCTGCGACATGACAGCGCAGTTGTCCATGTAGAAGACGCTGGACAGGTTCACGACAAGGCCGCGCTCCACAAGTATCGCAGCGCACGAACCCCCGCCACACACCAGAGTCGACCGCGTCATGACAAACCGCGTCGACAGAAGACGGACGCCGTCCAGAACAAGCGTGGGGCCGTGCCGGGATTTCTCGTGGCCAGGAGTCGTCGGCACGTACTGCGACCCGCCAACCGTCGCGCGCAGGGTCGAGTTCGCCAGCAGCACACTCGAGCTCAGCGGCATCGTGCCATGCAGCACAATCGTGCCCTCCAGCGACGTCACATTCGTCATGTTGACGAGGGCGTGCGGCACCAGGTGCGCTGTGCTCTCGCTGAGGCCGCCAATCCGCAGCTGCGCGCCGCCCACAAACACGCAGTGGCGAAGCGTCACGTTCAGTGCGTCAGCGAACGCGTCCATCGAGCGCAGGTCCACCGCC